CCCGGGTACCCCGGGCGTCATGCCCGGGTGCCCAGCTAGGCAGGACCGGCCGGGCGTGAGAATCTTCCTAGCAAAACTCTGATTTACAATCATCAGGATGATAGGATCAAATCGGAAATTATTCAGAAAATTTTGAATTCATTCATGAGTCCGCAGATCTTGGATCAAATTAGAATTGAAAACCTAAAGTCACCTGTCATGAAAAGATCAAATAGAAAAATCCAAAAAAAATTAAAATCGAAAACCAGAGATTAGAAAAAAAACAGATTTACAATCATCTGAAAATCCAAATCAGGTCACTATCTTGAAGCTACTTCCAAAATAGCGAGATCAGAACGAAAAAACGGAGGCCACTCAAGCCACGAAGAGCAAAAAGTACGGATAAAAATATATAAACCGATCTTTCATCATGATGTGTCTGGCTTCCCCAAACCTTCACCCCCTCCCTTATCGGCCCGAAGGCAACTCAGCCATCACATGGCCACTCTCTCGGCCATCAAGAAAAGGACTGAACAATAAGGACTAACGGACTGTGGCTTCACTTACCCCTTACTTGCCACGTAGCAAGACAAAACCACCAAACCTGTCGGTGACCCCTCACTGGTAGTCCGGGGGGGAACAGACCTTCCATGCCCTTCGTTGCCTTTCAGCACCTACCTCTTTCGTTAAAAATGACACCCCGCCCTTCGTAGCTCTGATGATTATACTGGCAGCCCATACCCTTCGCAGCCCTTCACAAGCAGCCTCTTCGTAGTATCCTCATCCTCTACGCACGATGCATCACCCTTATCGTCCTTCCCATCATCATCCCTTCATCCCAAAACTTCTCCACCACCACCTCACACCACCCCGAATCCACTCCCCCCAGCAACGCTTCGCACCGCCGCTTGTTGCCATCCAGCGCCGCTTGATTCACCATCGCGCTGCTCCGCTGCAAATCGCCGCCCGCCGCTGCTCGGTTCACCATCGCACTGCTCCGCCGCAAGTCGCCGCTCCCCGCTGCTCGGTCAGACTGCGCGGGCGGGGCGCAGCGCTTCCGGCCGCGCTGCGCCCATCATAGAGAATATGTACAGACTTGGAAGGAGAGCAGTGATATGGGCACTCTGGTGGCAGCGATGCACGCTTACCATGGAAAAGGTGAGAGTAGAAGAGCCAGAAATCACCGAACAGATTCAGAAGCAGGTACACTTCGAACTCACACAAAGATGGCTAGACACAAAAGCACAGTTAGACCTCTTTCAACAAGTAGGAGATGTCAGGAGACAGATCACAACATTCTGCACGGATTGGGTGGGAGGGGAGAGAGAAGGATGGATTGCAAGAGTAGAATCGAGTGGAGACAGGAGAGGGACAGAGGGATTTGGAAGAGATGAGAGACTACCGCTTCAGCTTGAATGACTGGACAAACATTGAACCCTCGTTTCCACTTCGCCCCCCCTCGGACTTCCCAGACCCTTTCCCACCCCATGCCCTTTCCCTGGTAGAGACCCTGTCCTGAATGAGGTAACCTTGTCTTCTACACACTCATACTCATACAAGGAACTCCTCCCAGGAGCCCCCCGGGGAGGCTGTTTCTTCTGTTAACATCCATATTTTTTCCCCTTGACTGAGCACTCTGAGCAAGAGAGTATGGGAGGTCGGCAGGGGGGGGGGGCGAACTAGCGAGTAGCAGTAGGTATTTGGTGCCGGTTGCAGGGTGTAGAGGGGCCTCCCTCCTTCCAGAATCCTGCTCAGTCAATCCCCTGGATCCCAGGGCAATCAATGCTGGCAGGAACCACCCCGCACATCTGTTTTTTTTCTGATATATTCCAAATTCAGTCTGTACAAGGGACGCTGGACCCGTTTTCCAGCAGGTGATGCTCCCCATCAATAGACTGGAGCCTCTCCCCAGGTGCTAGTGGTGTCTGCTCTTATCAGCACCACTAACACTGGCGGGGCTATGTTAAAAAAAAAAAAAAAAAAAGAAAAGGCGGCTCTCCAAAGCATGGATAGCACTAGCTGAAGATATCTTGGGCAAGGGATGGAGCCTGTCCAGGCCATCAGACGTCTGGCTCCGCTCCATGCTTCCCTCCTATAGAGACACCGCCCAAAATCGGAGGTGTGGAAGAACATCTTGGGATCATGGGACAGGGTGAGACCAACCATCTTCACCAAACCGGTATTGAGAGCATAAGTCCTAATGCAGCCAATATTCAAGAACCCAAGGATCACTGCACCAGACAACCTTCCCTTTGGAGCTTCAGCAAACAGACGAGAATTTGGCAGACGGTGGATCGAGAGAGGAGTTTTACGAATAGAAGACATATGGCTTGAGGGTGAGAGTCGGTGGAAGACAGAACAGGAACTCAGACAATCCCTCGGACAATTATGGCACGTGGAACAGTATAAGCGGTCGATCACAAAAGCAATCCCACAAGACTGGTGGGAACTGATTAGCAGTGTGAAATCAGACCCACCAGGCCTATGGTACAAGCCATGCAACGAGCTCACCGCCAACTCTCTATGGAAAGTGATCTCAGTGGATGCAACCAACTGCAAACAGATCCAAGAATAGCAATTGACAACCGACCAGAGCAGCAACACAGTCATCCCAACTTTGAAAGAGGAGTTCAACTGGCCATCCACATGGACAGCGAAAGAAGTGTGGGAGACTACCAAGAAAGGTAAACTTAGCAGTACAAGTACATGCTGGAGTCACACAACTTAGACAACTGAGGGTTGATCCCAGTATGTTCAAATGGTGCTCCGCAGCAGGGAAGGAGGTAGAGCTGCACCAGTACACCTCCAAATTAGGTGTCACACTGCTCCAGGCTCAAAGGCAGAATGACCCAACCCAGCTGGCGGTGAAACGGATCAATGAGGCAACAGGACTTCAGAACTTGGAAAACAGGATGCAGACACCTAATTTGGACGTTCATTCTCATTTGGACGTGTACTGGTGCAGTTCTACCTCCTTCCCTGCTGCGGAGCACCATTTGAACATCTAACAGATGCACAATGAGAATGAACGTCCTGCTAGAACATGGCCAGATGCACCTGCCACATTTTTTTATCTTTTTCACATTTCGAGAGTGGTGTGGGAGGCCCCAAAGCACGCCTACCTTCTTCATCCCAATACCTGTGGTCATTATAGCTGTACACCCTACATACATACAGCTATAATGACCGCATGCTGTATTCGGGTGAAGAGGTTAGAGGCAGGCACAACCTGATCGGTGCTATGTCTATGCTAGCAAGGCATGGCTTCTCTCAGTTCTCTCCAGGACCATGATTATGACCAGGTTCATGCTTGGCATAGCACCTGTATCAACCCCC